TGGGAGACAAATACTACTGCGTTTTCCCACTCACTAAGTTGGTTATTATTTTCTTAATCCAACCATAATTATGATTAGTCCACTGATCTTTGCAATCTAACCTAATTACGAGGGCCTAATTAATCAAGATACTTGACACACACACCTCCAAATAGACTTGTCGAAAATCCAAATCCCATGCCAACGAAAGCCCCTGGAAGAGCCCCCATAGCTCCGCACCCATGAGATTGAATTACAAATATCGTCATACCAAATGAGATTGAATTACAAATATAGTCTATGAACTAACTACACAAATTATAATAAACTAGTTTATAATGCTTTCCAAACACATCAATTCAAATCAATCGTACGTGATTGAATTTGTCCCTATTTAGGCCAAGTTACTAAGAATTAGCTCCCATATATATCTAATTTTGTCTCATTAAATTCCACTTATTATATATCAAATTCCAAATCATAAAGTCATGAAAATATTTAAGAATTGAATTATTGCATAGCTAAGAAAGCCATTTTAGTAAGGACACAAGTAAACTCCTCTGTCACAATTCAATTGAGGTTATTCGAAGACCCTACCATTGTATTGTTTAGTGAAAAAGACCAAAAAAATTGTCCCATCTTAACTTTCATGAAATAAATTTTGCCCCACGAAGAAACACTATAATATCAAGTCGAGCCCCACTTGAAGATGTCTCCACTTTTTCATTTATTTATTAAATAAAGTTGACATACTACCTAGAAAAATTTAATTCTGATTAGTGCTGTCTGAACTCTGTTGTTTTTATAATAAATATATATTGAAATACTTTTTGATATTTTAATCTTTGGGCCTCAACTGTTGGGGACAAGGTTTGGGCTAAAATGAAATTGCACAACTAGTAAATAAATTAAGGTCCTCTTGAGCCTTTCAAATTAAGTGGGCTTACTACCCTCTTGGAAGCCCATTGGCCCGAGTAGTATCTTTTTGATAGGTATATGTAATATAACATAAAAAAAAAACAAAAAAAAAAAAAAAAAAAAAAAAAAAAAAAACAAAATCGAGGTAGAGTAAATTTGATAAGTATGACTGAAAAACAAGTTGGGTATATCCAACTAAAAACTAGCTGGTTGTAGGTAATTAAGTGATATTTTATAAATTAATTTGAGCATTTTTGGTAAATCAAAAGTGATATTTATAAGTCAATTTTGAGCATATTCGATAAATCAAAACTGAAAAGTCAACTGATAACTAATAAATTAGTTGATACAATACCGAAGTTGGTAATTAACTAATAATTTATTTACAATAGTACATTTTCAGCATCTTTGGCAAATATAAATTAAAAAATCTAGTTGATAGTCAATAAATTAATTCATGGTTTGTAAGTTAACTGTAATAGCTTATAACTTATGATAAATCTAACTGCAAAGCTGACCGATTGTTGGTAACTAACTGATACAATTTATAACTTAACTAGTACGGCACCCGCGCGTTGCGCGACATCATGTTTAATATATTGATGAATTATAATTTAAACAAATGACGATTTATTTAAAATAATGTCACTTATTAAGCATTTGAATAATTATACATATAACATTAGTTGTAGGCAAATTGAGTTTATTATGATCACTATTGTCAATGAAAATATTAATCTTTCATTTATAACTCTAGAAACAACAATATGCTACTATTATGACTAAGTGCATATTTTTTCAGCAACAATATCACATATAACAACAATAGTTGACTTTTGATCAACTCACATTGCCTAAGACAACATAATAAAAAATATCATCGTTGTAATTTAAATAGTAGTCTTGAATTGGAAAACGTCAAGGATAATTGTAGAACAAAAAAAAAAATATGTTGCGAGAATTTTATCTTTTATACTTTAAAATTGTGTTTTTAGTTTTTTTGTGGAATTAAGAGAAAAATTCTTCAATATCATTATTAGTCATTAAGTCAATAATATATCTAGCTATTTGGACTGAAAATTATTTATAAACGGAAGCTAATTAAACTTCTTGAAATATGCATTGAGATTTTCGCTGTAAAAATATTGAATTATTTAAATAAAATTTCATTGATAAAGGAAAGACAATTATAGCAGACAATTTTTACTCCAACATACATGTAAATTGATGAATAGCTTCTAATAGTTTTTTTTTTTTATAATTTATTACTTTTGAACACAAATTCACATCAATTTTAATTGCACAATAAATGTTTAATTGAATATAATGTTTATAAATTATAAATTTTGAATACATTTATAATTATATACTTATTTACAAAAATTAATTATGTTTATGGTTGAGTTACATAAAAGTTAAAAAAAAAGTATAGTAAATGAAGCTTTGGGAATATAAGAGTAATTATTTAATACTAAGTAAATAAATATATATACATAATTAAGTGTTTTTTTTTTTGTTTTTGTAAAAACTTATTAGGTTGATGGTTGTATTACATAGAAGTTATCAAAATTTATTTTAGTGTAATAAATGTAGTTTTGGAGGGAAAAAGAAAATTTTTCCAGCTGCTTAGCTTTAATATATATATAGATTCCGTCACGAGTCGTCTTGTAAATCAAAACTAACAAGGTAGCCGGCAACTGGTAAATTAATTAACCGATAATAGTTGATAATTAAATTACATGTTAATCAATTAATTTCAAACTTGTTTTGGTAAATTTAACTTTTAAAAAACGTTTACCGATAATAATTGATAATTAAATTACATGTTATCAATTAATTTCAAACTTGTTTTGGTAAATTTAACTTTTAAAAAACTAGGAGATAACTGATAAATTAATTGATATTTACATGTTATCATGATTGATTATAGCTTATGATGAAAAAATAACTACTGATCTTCATTAATTAAAAGTTTGATATACAATTAGCTGATAAATTAAAAACATTCGATAGGGTTATCTGATAGGTCA